GGCGACCGGGTATACTGATGTAGCTTCAAGTTACTCTCTTATCTACAGAACAATCTAACGACGCAATATCAATTAATATTCACCTCTGCATTCTCCACACCGAAGTAACTAACTGTTCCTTGACAAAAGCCTTGACTCCTTGAATTCGAAGTCGACGGTGACAAGTCAAGTCGCAATGAAATTGTTTACACTCGAGTAAAAGACAACTCACGCAATTGCCGTTGCTACTTCAGTGATCAGGGAGGTCGTGGACATGTTAATCGGCGTTTTGAAGTCGTGATAGCTGAATTTCGTATCAATTCGTGTACTGCTGCTCGTACCAGGCATAACGAAGAGGTGTAGATCGGTGAAGACGAGGTGTCAAGCAAATGCGGGATTATTGGGGAAGACGAAATGACATTGATCAATGATGTAGGACAGAAGCACTAGTGCTGGATGAAATGAATAGTAGGTCCCCAACGTGCGTCTGCTTTGAAGGAATCATGGAGTATCTACGGATGCATGTATATCGCCAAGGAACAAACGCAAACTGCGTTGAAAAAACACACAGCTACAATATCTCTACAATCCTGACGTCCATCATGTCGTGAATAGTAGAAGCCACGTCTTTGACTTGAGCAACGATATCATGATCCGACACGATCCTCTTGTATTCTCCGCCGCGCTGCCGCGCTAGCATTAACGCACTGAACGGCTGCCCAAGGCGAACGATCAATCTCAACGCTCGTGAGTGAGAGTCTGAGACACCCATCTCCTGTTCTACAGGAGAACCACCAGGCGACTCGTCTAACGGAGACTCAGGCGGGGACAAATAATTAGAATCCTCGCTCTGCGTATCGTCTCCAGAGTCGGGCAGTTCCGCAAAGTCAGGTAGCTCGAGGAGGTGACGGTCCCATGGATAGACAAGTAAGAATGTCTGCAGAGGGGGCCTTGCAGGCGTGAACTGATTCAGCGTCTCTTTCGTGGTGAGTAGAAGGTCGTGAAGTCCGTCTGCCTTGACTCCATACGTGAAATGAGTCTCTTGGGCTCGGCCAATATTCCGTATGACTTCCGTGACACGGAATGCAATGCAAGGCAGATGCAGTCTGCAGGCCGCGAAGCGAGGAGCGTTCATGTTGTCAAGTTGGTCATACAATTTCGAAGTGAACTCCACAGCTACGGTATTTCGCAGCGAAGAAACCAATGTCTGGATCTCGTCTTCAGACAAAGATGGTAGGGTGCGTGGCGGAGCTGCGTATGAGGAAATGCTGGCTGGAAGACAACTATTGAACTGGGATGGCTGTCCGACCCAGTTGAGGGCAGTAATGTCGCCCGACCGAGCCACGATCTCCTGCAGGAGCCGCCCGAGCGCATTTTGCTTATTCTCACCATAAAGGATAGGAAGTTGGACGCCGAAGATGCCAAACAATGAGTATGCGATGTCTTCGGGCACAGTGGTGATACGCATAGAAACCCATTGAAGTTTCTCGCGGGCGTCTCTCATCCCCGGTTGGAAGGCGACGAGGGTGCGTGCATCTATACCCGTCGCATCCTGCAACTCATGCATGATCTTGATAGACTCCTTGTGGTTGTGGGAGGAGTCGTCGAGATATGGAGTCCAATCCTGTTGGTAGAAGCGAATGACTTTAGGAGCGAGGAATTCGGGGACGGTCCATCCCCGGGTATTCCATGCACTCTTCGCCAGCGCGCCGGACGAAGATGAAGGCGAAACATCTGACAGGTAAACGGCCGTGAGCGCTGAGTCGTGATACCAGCCAAACATTGAGTTCAGTGATTTTTGAACCTCGACGTTGTTATGCTGGTCGATGCAACACGAATCAACCCATGCCCAGTGATACTCCGCCTTGCGAGCAATTTTGCAGAATGACTGCAACTTCACGAGACTGCCAGCTCCCGTCATCTCGTACACGACCTTGTCCTTGATGTCGTGCAGCAAAGGCTCCGTCCCTTCCCACCTATGTGACAGCATGACACAACGGAAGTATGTCGCCACCACTTCTGTGATGCGCTCCATTCGGATGTCTGGATGCTTCATAGTTAATGACAACAGAAGCTCGTTGTATTCTGCGCTTGTTTTGAAGGCGCTTATCTGTGCTTCTCGGTCACATAACAGTCCGGTGGCGGTGTTGAGTAGACGAAGCGGAGCGGTATTGAGTTGAACGTCAATGACTTTTCGAATGACACCTTCTCCTTCGGAGGGACTGAGATATTGCTCGCGCAGAGCTGAGGAAAGAGTTGAGCATCTGGACACATGTGTCACTTAGAGCTTACTTCGTATTTTCACGTCATGAGCACTATCCAATTTGGCGAGCATCATTTGGAAGGCGATGATAGCTTCATCGTAGCGCCGTGCACCATAAAGTGCTGCATGCTTCACCTGGTACCCAACATGAGATGAAGGGTTGAGTTCGATGACCTATGTATCGCCGAGGTGAGCGTTGGCTACTACAAAAGCAGATTTCATCATACCTTTTGCGCATCTAGAAGCGCATCCTCCCATAGCATTTTTTCTGACCTAGATTTACTGCGATTTGCAAAGATGATGTCACTTGCAGAATTGAGGTTGATTGCCACGGAGTATGATTTGATAGCCTTGTCGTAATCGCTTGCAGCGAAGGCAGCATCTCCGTTGACAATATGGGGCGCGCTGTATTCTTGCGAGAAAGCTGAGTAAAGTGCGGGTGAGGATTGTAACCGTCGTGACATTACAGAGTCCAGACTTACCATTGGACCAGTCAAGGCAGTTAGCCTTTGTATTTTCGTCGCTCGTATCCATCATGTGTTGATACGATTCTACAGCTTCTTCATGTCTACCTGCCTGACGGAGTGCATCGCACCGTTTCTGGTGTACATCTTGCCACAAGGACTTCAGATCCCATCCGAAGAGCTGTAAAAAGTACGGAGTTAGGCGTGAAAGCACATTCGAATCATATCAACATACCATTACCAAGTCTTTATATATGGAATCAATAGCGGTTGTAGATGGGAAGGTCGTGCAGTTGACAGCAGCAGTGAAGTGTTCAGCAGCTTCGTCGTACCGCGCGCCATTCAAGGCATTGACTCCGAGCTGAACACATAGATATGCCTGACATGCGAAGTTCAGAAAATCAGTATCAATGCATGGAACCTGGGATTGATGGAAAGATTTACTTCTACGACATGACGCCCAAGAGCATTGTTGTTTGGACAAGCTGCAGCTAGCTCTTTGAGGAGCAACATTGCCTCTTCATGTTCATCTGCAGCAAACAGCGCGATAGCCTGAAATCCATGATGAAATAGGGTGTATGTGGGGTGTGGGGGCGGGGAAAATAACGTGCCTTGACCAGAAGAAGGAAATGAACGGTGTTTGAATTTTCGTTCGTGAACATGAATGCGACGTCGAATGCTACCTTCGCGTCCCGGACCTGACCTTTTCCGCATAAGGCGATGCCCTTGGAGATGTAACCTGTCAAGGAAGGCTGAATGATAATGGACTATGTCACAGTGGAAGTTAGCCATTCGTGAGGGAGTAATGATGGGTCTGTCAATTTCACCTTGTTGGCATCATCAAGCGCATGACCCCAGTCATTTTTTCGCGCCATGATGAATGAACGATTGGCATACGCGGTGTAGTTGTTTGCATTGGTGTCGATTTCTTCCGTGAGTAACTCCTCAGCAGTAGACAAGTCCCCCGCGATGCATGCATCGCGGGTAGTAGAATTGACGGAGAGGATCTGTGACATGAAGCATAGCGTTACCAGAGTCAAGGATGGAAACATGCCTCTAAATTTACACCCTTGGGTGTTTCCCACTCTGAGATCATATTATCACCACCTCCGCTGAGGATGTGCTTGCCGTCCATGGAGAAAGTGACACATTTCGTGAAGGATGAGTGCTGGAAGATGGCGATGGTTTGTCGATCTGAGAGACGCCAGAGACGGACATGAGTATCATCAGATGCGGAAGCGATGTGGGTGCCCGCAGGATGGATGGCAATGGTGAGGATAGTTTGAGTGTGACCTGTCCAAGGATCGCCGACCTGCTTCCAAGTGGATGTGTCCCACTCCCGTATGGTGGGATCCTTGTCATTGCCCCCTGAGAGAAGGCGGGTACCATCGAGCGTCCACGCGAGCGACCAGTTCCATTTTGTATGACCTTCGCAGCTTGCGACGCGTTCCCTCCTGGCCGAATTATAAATTTCGATATTACTGTCTGTTGCGACAGCAAGATGTTTGCCAGACGGTGAATACCGAATGCACTTGACCTGATCACTACACTTGATTGGATTTCCTTGTGTCTGCCATGATTTCGTGCTCCACAGCTGCATCGTTTTGTCTGGCGAACCAGTAGCTAGCACTGCACCATCGGGTGAAAAGTCCAACCCGAAGACGCGCGCGGAGTGGGCCTTGATAGGTTGGGTGAGAGGTTCCCCAGTTTCTCCGTGCCAGACGATGACCTCTCCGCTCAAATCACCGCTTGCTATCATTTGCCCATCTCGCGATACCGCCAATCCCCGCACCTGATTGCGATGCTCCATCTTCTTCAATACTGCACCTGTATTCAAGTCCCACAGATGAAGCGTCTTGTCCCATGAGCTCGTGATCATTCGTCGTCTATCAGGGGAAACTGCTACAGCCCATATGGTGGATGTATGATCTTTAAAACGTCGAAGGGGTGTGGTGTTTGGAATGAGCTGAGACATTAATGTACTAGAAGTCGATGGTGTCGAACGCGGTCGAGGTGGACTTGCGTGCGTTTGGTGCTGCTTCACCTGCCTTGTGTTTCCATAGACGCCCAGGGCATGCCAAGATTTGCCTCCATTAAGGCTGCAGCAAGAATACTCCCCGTTATTATATGTGCCTTTCTCGGCAGTATCATACAGGCTTGTGTACCGGTCTGGCGTGTATCTTCACACCAAAATGCATCACCTCCTATCCAATCACAATGGTGCACTGGCAGTGGGTACTTCTTGGCTCTTCAATCAGGCTGATAGTGCTTACGGCCCATCAGTGTCACGAATGCCATCTATCCTGGATGGCCACATGAATGATGTCTTTTATGGGTTATTTTCCCACTCAAGAAAATATAGATGCAATCATTCCCCTTGTCTTACGCGGACTTGTTGCACTTGCACCAGGTCAGAAAACCAGATAAGAACGTCCGATGATTTACAACGAGCTTCTATCACATACGTTGATGCGAAGGTCTGCGACCTGGAGGATTTGCCAGAAGACGGGTTGAATGCCTGCCTGGAGACTATTGTAATAAAAATGCAGGGCATTGCTCGAGAATTTTGAAATTGGGGACAATATTAATGGTAATGTACAAGTGCGAGAGTCAAGAATGTTAAGCAATGAAGCTAGGCATGTGGGCCAACTAAGAAGTTGGCGATAGTAGAAGCACGATACAGGGAGCATAAAAGCATATAAAACAGCGGTGGGAAGGCATAGTGAGGAAGGGCACATACGCATAGCTTTGAGTGGAAAAAATGACAACAAATGCTCACCACCCAAACACGAGCTCCCTCCCGATTCGAGCATATCGACCCAGCGCACCAGAAAAAAATAAAAATAAAAGCGCGGCGAAGAATACAAGTTGCCGTTGCTGTTGATAGAGAGCAGCGCTTGTTTTTGTTTTGTTTTTGTTTTGCTAACCTCGGCCTTTCCGACGTCCTCCTCGACCGATACGCCCTCGCTTGCGGCCTCCTGCGGCACATCGGGAGAGCCTGAGGCAGCACCAGAGTATTGCGGGTAGCAATGAGAAACGCTTTCGCCCACGACACCGTTGTCGAGTAGTTTGGATATGCGACCTAGCGTCGCTTCTAGGATACGTTCGACGGCGGCATCGTATTGCCGCACAATACGTAGGCGGTCTGTGCGTATAGATATGGTGGCTTCGGAAGGGGTTGGCTCTGGGTTGGAACAAAACAAATGAGAAATGAGCATGAAGTATGAAACTCGCGTGAAATGAAGGGGATATAGCAGTCTCCTTTATGAGACAGGGACAAGGAAGACATCACAAACTCACCATACATCCACACAACCCCCTTCGCATCAGCCAACACATTCAAAGCAAGCCGCGACAACCTCCCCTTACAATTCTCCTCAAATGGCTGCATTCTCTCCAGATCGATCGCCTAGCACGTTCATCCGAGTCAATCAGTATATTAATAGACAGAGCATCATCCAAGTAAAACGCACCGAACACCGCTCGAGGGCCCACTTACCCTTTACTTTTTTTAAATCCAGCTCACCCGTAGTAGGTTCGACTGGAAAATCACCTTTTAGCGCAGCCCATGGCTCGTTAAGCGGGCTTTTACCCGGTGTCCACTGTGGAAGCAGATAAACGCGGACATGCCTGTTTGCTCGTGGCTCAGTAATCAATGTCAGGTGAGAAGATGGGGCTCGCGTACCCAGGCGGGGCTTCATATGGGAGTGGATTTCGATGTGTCCACATGTACTCCAGGTGTTCTTGCGGAGTACGCACAAAGATAGAGGGAACGTTACCCATGGTGCTAGGTTGAGGGAACATACTAGACATCGACTGTACCTAAAATATCATCAAGACATTGTTCCGCGTTGAGAACTTCGTGACGGGACCATGATGAGACGCATAAGTACAACAGAACCAAGGAAACCGGATTGTAAAATTGCACAAGGTCTCTGCAGGGCACTCTGGAGAAGATCGCGGCATGAATATTGACTCGTGCATGGATGATATTGAATGAGGGTATCATAACTTAGTAAAACAAGGTCGCGAAACTTTGGAAGTACAACAACACGCATGCAATTACGTCAATGATCGCAGATGCTGATTGGATGGTATCGGTACAACAAAAGGTCTTTCTGCGGTATGTATGTAGGTACGAAAATTGATCAGGGTATGGCACATATATCGTCAAGGAATAACAGTACAAAATCGAATGGCGCTTCGGATAGGAATACAAGGAGAAAAAAATACGACGGCAATACATGGGTCTCCATGACCCTGCAACTGTACTCGCTCATTAATGCAGGTGATACGCTCACCAGGGCGATTCATCGATAGTGCCCCAATCACTAGAACTGGCACAGCTCTGGGGAGGCTTCGCCCGTCCCCCACGTGTGGCAGTAGAGTACCCATCTTCACTGGGGTATCCAGCAGCGCTATGGGCGTCCATCTGATCTGCCCAGGAAGAGTTAACCTTCTTGTTCGTGTTATTGGCGTTGGCGTTGGCGTTTGGCTGGGGCTTCTGCTGGGCCTGGGGCCTCTGCTGGGCCTTCGGCTGAGCCTGGGGCCTCTGCTGGAACCCAGGCTGGGCTTGGGGCCTCTGCTGGGACCAAGACTGGGCTTGAGGCCTCTGCTGGGACCAAGACTGAGACTTCGGCTGCGCTTGGGACTTCTGCTGGGACCAAGGCTGAGACTTCTGCTGGACCTGGGGCCTCTGCTGCGACGAGGGCTGGGGCTTCTGCCACGATGGCTCGGGCTTCCGCCGGGGCTCGGGCTTCGCAGGAACAGTAAGCCAAGGATCATAGCTAGCTACAGAATTGCCCCAGCCGTCCTCAGACGGCTCAGGAGCATCATTGTCCGCGGACTCCACCGCAGCCGGTTCAGGCTCATCTTTGCTCGCGGACCTCCACGAGGCATCTGACGTGTTGCCCCATCCACTCGGAGTTTCCCCCACGACAGATTCCGCATCCTTGACGCTTTCCATGTGCTCGATGGCAGCGGCAGATACGATAGCCCTTGGAGCGCCTTGCCAATTCGTCCTCACTGGTGCGCCGCGACCTCTGAAAGCATTGGAAGGAGCTTCACCAGCGCTTCTGCCCATGCCCATGCCCCTGCCCCTGCCCCTACCCCTACCCTTCTTGGCGCCCGCAGATTTATCCTTCAGTGCTTTCTCCCTCTCCGCTTCGCGGTGCTGCTTCGCATACTCCCTACATATCCCCTTCTTGCAGATCGTTCCATGGGCATTGCATATAATCGGCTTCTCCGCCTCCGGCTGATCAGTCAGCTCCTTCCACTGCGCCTCAGCGTCTGCGGGAGCATCATCCCAAATGACCCCATCGGCGCTACTGATGGGATACTCCGACCATGAAACTTGAGCGCTGGTAGGTTCTTCCCAATGTCCGGGTGCGATCGCGTCCAGTTCAGCGAGATTGGGATCTAGATCATGATGGACTGATAGCCCATCCAGCGCTCGTTCCATACTTTCCGAAATTTGGACTTGAACCGTGTATGGATCATCTGGGGCGTTCGCAGGCGTGAGAATGATGTCGGTGCTGGCGCTGGAGGATCCTCCGCTGGAGCTCCAGCTAGCGACGCTTGTGTTATCACGATCGAGGCGCGGTGCCGTCTCGATGCGAGGAGCACTCCACGCGCTTGGTACTGCCGAAATTCCGGGGGGATGAGTAGGATAGGACGTTGCGGCGTTCGAAGCTGTTCTGCCACTCAAACCAGGAGGGACCTCGGGAGATTGATTCGACAATGTTCTGGGTAAAGGAGATGGAGTTACGTGTGCGGGAGTGTTCCTTCCGGAGCCGGCGGGGGAGTCTGACCACCCGCTGGGTCCAAGTCCTGAGGGCAGAGGAAGACCGACCCCTAATAGTGAAACGAAGGAAGCGCTTAGTCGTCAGAACGAAAAGGAGAAGCAGTAGACCACATACAAACGTCAGATGCTTTTACTGCGACGGGGCCGCCGCCAACTGCGGGCTGCTTCTTCAGCCCAGCGATGGGCGGGGAGGAAGTAGCGATGGCAGCCTTCCACGAATTGCCAATCGGTGCTGTAGATTTTGGGGTACCTTTAGACCACGCACTTCTCGCAGCCTTTGCGACAGGGGCAGGGAGCTGTTTGGTGGTGGTCCATTCTCGGGAACCGACGACTGTAAGCAAGGATGGTGAGAAATATAAGCCAGAAATAGCGCAGTGGGTCTCGGCTTACTTGGTTCGGGAGCAGCCAGCGTCTCAGGGGGAGGTGGCTTTACAGCGCCCGGAAGGGGCCTGCACATCGGGTGATTGGTTTGATCCTCGACAGGTACATCACAAAAATGGGTTTCAGGATAAGGAAAAGTGATGAAACTGGAAGAACGGTATGGTATGTCAGTGAATGTGACCAAAAACGACTTACACAGTTGGAGTCAAAGGATGAGGACTTACTGGTTGTTCGGCGACCAGGTCTTAAACCAAGCATCTTCAACGAAGATACGCTTCCAGCCTAGGAGGGAAATCCGATATGGTATTGGTCAGTTGATCCGTTCATAGAAGGTAATCAAGGTTCCTCAATTATCACAGCACCGATCGGGCTTATCAACATGTAATCGGAGAGGTGGCAGAATTCAAATCAAGTTAATTGCTCGACTCACCATTCTTCTGCACTTGTCTTCCGGTGCAATAAGTGCAATAAAAAACCTTGGTGACTTGGTCGTTCTCTTGTTCAGACGACTTTCTCAGGAACTCGCTCCAGCGATGCTCGCCGAGTAAGCGGTCAAGCTGGGGGCACTCGCGCGCCACTTCGATGATAACCATGTCGCGTGCCTATTGAAAATGGGGTAGACACATGAAGGTCAACTATATGCACTGCTCAGACGATCCACACCACTACTCACACTGGGTTTATGGAAAAATGCGTAAAAGTACTTAGCGTCGATGCAGCACGCTACCCAACGAGCGAAATCTTGTCTATCCTTGGGCAGTTCCATGTTGCAGTGCCCATCGAGGACGTACGGGTGGACGACGCTGAGGTAGCGAGGTTCATCGTCTGCAGGAGGAGGGGTAGGGATACGCTTTGGCATGGTGGAAAGATAGAGAGATGATAGAGAGGAAAACGCAGGGGATCGAGTTATTTAAGCAAACACGCGGCTGAGGTGCTGGATCTGCGTGCTAAGTGGCGACTCTTAAGGATCCCCTGAGGAGTTCACTTGTAAGGGTCCCGTGTTGCTACGCCGTTTCGACAGCACTGTCACAATAAAGACAGATAAAGAGCTGCGGTCGCGGTACCGACCCTGATGAAAGCAACAGAGATCGCGTTTCCTGTGTTCACATTAGTTGTCAGATCTGATTGATCCCTGCGTACAAAGAGCATTCGAACCAAAGAAAGGCTTGGAAGCTTCAGCTCTACGACACTCTTTCAAAGCCGGCGAGAAGGTTATACAAAGGGTAGATTGTAGACAGGAGTGGGTCCTTGAAGGTCCCTCGATATCCTACTAGTATTAATACAGGATGCTTACCGTGAGAAAGACGCGCCGCAGATTGCCACCTCCTTGAACTCAGAATCGATTCATTGTATGTATGTACTAATCTCGAGGACGGAGCGATCGAAACTTAAGCTTGTTCTAGTACCACATGACCAGCCGGATGGCGCTAACTTATCGTTACTACTATGTCATTTGACTTTTGTAATTGAGGAGATGGTTGTGACCTAAACGTACGTCACGATTCACCAAAGCGTCACTACCACCCCACAGGTTTCACTAAACATCATATGTGACCAGCAAATAGCTTGCTGTAGTATTCTCTTTTTTTGAGATGAAACAGGTGAGACCCTCGCTCTCATTCTGTTCTTACCAAATTACGGGTGATCACCAGGAACAGCCTTGTCAAGCCGAAGGTAAGTTTTTTTTTTCATGTTCCGCGTCTCCAGGGTCTAAGTTCGTTTTCGATGCTGTACATAATAAGCTTGTGCACTTCAAGCATGCCTTTCAGCAAACACGTACTCTCCAGAGAGATGTGACGAACATCTCAAACGACTCTATCAGTGTTGCTCCAAGCTATATCAGGATCAAAACGACACAAAACGCGTCAATGATCCCGACCAAGAAAACGTGTCAACCGCGTGTCCAATGTCCGAGTGTGGTCGACCGCTGGCTCAAGAGGCATCCTATGATTCTCGGTGCGGGAACGTTCCTGCAAATTGCGTACGCGGAAGATTTACTTCAAACCCAGCTTTCAACCAATGGCGGGCTTTGACCCCCGTTCGATTCCGCAGATTTGAAGGATTTTGGACGGTCCATTCAGCCTTCCGCAATTCGATACGAAGTATGTTAGAAGCGTGTAAGATCAACGTCTTGGGTGATTCCTAGACGTTGAACACAAATAACGAGTACGGTGATAGGCTTATTTGCGCCAAGACTTGCGTAGCCACCATTAGGCGCACCGGAAGTACACACCGCACTAAATTTACTCCACGAGGCTGTGGCACAGCTAGCATGACTTTCTGTTAGCGGTCACGACGAAGTCGCCAACGTAAACTTCTCTCGGTGTAACTTCACCGTCGGCTTGGTGTCTAGTAGTTAATAAAGGCCCTGCTGGTCCCCAGCGCATTGTCTGATTTGCCTCTGCTAACAAAATACCGAATCCACTATGACTTCTACTTCTACCGAAGGTTCCTCAATATCCACAGCAACTATCGCAGGAATCATCATCGGAGTTGTAGCAAGCGCAGCTTTGGCCGCAGGTGCATGCTTCTATTTGCGATGTTGGAGGCAAGGCAGAGGGAGGTTCACGAGGCTTCGCAAGGGGAGGAGGGTAATAGATGCTGACGAAGAATTTGTATCGCATGGATCAAGCGTTAGCGTTTGTGATCGACGCGGAGGGTATGGTCACGGACAACATCCATCTGTATCCCTTGAACCTCTCCTTCTACCCTCCCCGCCCCCAACATCACAGAACATTCCAGTCCCGCCACTACCACGAGACTGGTCTTATCTCCACTCTCCCGTCCCTCCCGTCCTACCCAATATAACAACAGATCCTAGCATTCTCAGCCTCTACGAAGCCGACGACCCATATACCCGCATCGAAAGAGCGATACTCCCGACATCTGCCGTACATGACATGTCCGTATCTTCACGCGAGGCGCTGCAAGAGGCAACGGCTGAACAATACTCCAGGCACACAGCCAAATTTCCTGGGCCATCCGCCCCGCTTTTCATCAATCGCACGCTGGCTCGACCCTCGGTTCCTGACTTCTCAGGCCGGACAAGCACTTCCTTGTTTCTCCCCGCGAATCTTCCCCATTCTATATCATCTCGGTCAGGAAGTACCGACATCAATTTGTTCGAGCAGAGTAGCAGGGCCGTTTCGGCTGGAGATGCGGCACCGCTCAAGCCGCAGATATCATTCCCCAGTCTGCCAGCGGAGCAAACCACCCGGAAACAATCGGAATTCCAAACTCGGGCAGTAAGCAGTGAAGTCGACGCCAGCAGCCCTGAATCCATCTATTCACAAGAATCCGCACAACATGCTTCCCATCCCCCAGACTCCCAGTTATCAACCCAGTTATCAAGGAGGGGCAAATCATTCCGGAGACATTCAAGGGCGCTGACGCTAACAGGGCTAAGCCCCGTTATGGAAGGTTCCACATCGACGAATGAGTTTCCTTCCCATGACGTCTCGACGAACTCGGAGATCGAGAAAAAGCCATCCCGCACCTTCTCAGAACTCGAAAAACAATCGTCCCTTTCAGTCGCACTATCGCATAGCGCATCCTCAACAGGCCCTGAATGCACCTCATTTCCCCTCCTTTCCTCTAACAACGCATTCGGAAAAAGTGATTCCGCCTCATCCCATGGATGGACAACCTCTGGCTCAAGCGGCCGAACGACGAGGTATCCTTCATTGGCACCTTCTAGTTCGGGACCGTCGTCATCCAACTCAAATCCTCACCCTCACTCTGATTCAGCCACTGAGTGGCACCGTCCACCAGCAGGCCTTGCTGCGCTCAAACATCTAGAGCTTCCAAATCCGCACGCCGCATCACCTCAGGAGATACTTGATGCATCAGTGCTACCTCCTGCTCGTCAATCACTGCTTGCAGCCGACAAGTGGCTTGAGGTAGCGCCACACAAAGCTCACTTGCGTGCGCATTCTCCAGGATCCGTGCCAGAAGTTGAGCGGAGGTCAATTGTACAATGTGGTATTGCGAGTATCGATGTAACATTGTAACTACTTACAAGTCATGGATGGATGGATACATTTTGATGGACCTCTTAATCTTTATCTTAAATTATTCGTACAATTGGTGTTTGCATGGACAATAACGGACTTTGTGCGGGACGAGCAGACTTACGATAAATGCGTGCGGGTCATGTGAATAACGGATACAGGTCATCTACAAATGTCAGTAAGTACAGTCATCAGATGATCTCATGCGCACCACTGACCTTTGCGTATTATTGAAGGAATCCTTTGCTTTTCCAGTACTCCACCCACGCCTGCGCATGGCTCGGTCCAACCCATTCGGACTCCCGCGTGGCAAGAAGACGCATCGTATTGCTCAGCGAGCACGCCTTGTCTGTCGCAAACCGCAGGCCATTACCTGCCTCCGCATCACTAGAATTAGTCTCAGCATCCGGTTGCAAAAAACCGCGAAAAAAAGGTAGGATTTTTAGCGCCGGCTGTGACGACAAAATTAGTCGAGTAGCTTCAAGATCCATCAATGAACATTCGACTTACGAGTTCATTGAAATCACGTTCCTTCGCTCCATGGGCGCGTTGTTCCAATTTTTGCATCCAATCTGAATAGGGTTCTAGCGGTAGCGAATGGCTTGTCTTCCCGGAAGCTGCAAGCGCATCTCTCACACCCTCAAAGATGGTCTGCCATTGAACAGGCCGTGGGTGGGTCATGTTGACAAGCGGAACATACGTCTCGGACAAAGCGACGTCAAGAGCAGCAGCAGCAACGCGGTCCGCGGGCGTCCACGACACGACCTAATTCGAACTTTGTAAACTAAGCTAGCATCACGCAAAAGCTTACTCACCCCTGGAAGGTTAGGAAGCGAACCGAGCGCCAAGCTTGATTTGACAAGGATGGGAACCCAATCTGTCGTCGCCCAAGCCCCAGTAGGCCCACCGGCAATCTGCCCAACTCGAAGAGAGGTAGCTTGCAGACCAGATCGAGTGATGATCTGAAGAGTGCTGAGTCACCGAATCTTACTCAGACAACGTTAAGTTACCTGTTCGGCGACATGCTTCGATTCTCCATAGCCAGAACCTATTGCCATAACAGGATCACATAGAAGGTCCTCTGGAACCGGACCCTGACTTGGATCTCGACCCAAAACGGAACCGATGGACGAGACGAATACGAACCGCAAGGAAGCAGCATGTGTAGAAGCAAGCGCTAGATCCAAAAGCATCCGTGTGCCCCGAATATTAGGTTCAAAAGAAGAAAGGGCCAAATTGAAGTCAAGGCGCCATGCATTGTGAATGATCATGGTCACAGAACATTTGAGCTGCATAAAGACATCAGCGACGAACTGAGCAGGAAAAAAGAGAAACAAACCCGTTCGTAAGTGGGAGCCGCCAAACCTAAACTATCCTGAGAGATGTCTCCCTCAAGGTAAAAAATCTTCCTCGACGCGGTTAGGAGTCGCGTATTCAGCCCTCTCTCCTCGAATGCTTTCAGTTGACGCAAACTACTGTATGTTCCCGAAGCCGCCGAAAATCGATTGAGAAGATAGACTGTCGAAACCTCTGGCCGTCCAAGAAGATCAGCGAGCATATAAGATCCCAGTGTCCCGGTGGATCCAGTAAGGAGCACAACACGGCCACCATCAAGTCTGGCTCGCTTCGTAGGTCTCTCCATTGAACCAGAATCAAGCTTCAGAAACTCGGCGGAGTATTTTTCGATCATGGCACCAATCCCCTTGATATGTGCGTCCCGCACGGAATCGACAGGAGTCCCATTAGAGCATTTAATCAGGGCGGCGACTTTCCTTGCCAGTGACTGGATAGTTGGGTTCTCGAAGATAATGTTTTGTGTAATGAGGGAGGAAATTTTCTGCATCCCTGGTTCTGAGGACCTCCGTAGGGCGCTGATGAGTCGATTCCTAAGGTACGTTGCGCTCAAGCTGTGGAGCAATGTAGGACAATCCATCAATAAATAAAAAAGCTCATACCTGTCAAAGCCCTGTGCGAACAGATCCACAATTGGGTTTAGATCCGTCCTGACATTCACGGCCTGTGATAGCAACCAAGACTCTAACTCGATCTGCGTCCATTGGGATGGTAAAGTGTTATCACCAACTTCGTGGCTGAGTCCAACGACGTCATATCTGGTTATAGAGAGCTTCAGCAAGTGCAAAGACGCTTAATGTTAATATGCAGATACTAACAGTGCATTGATTTCTTGCTCATATGCTTGGAGCGCCGCCTTTCTTTGGATGGTGCCTTTCATAGTCCGAGACACAGGCTTGTCGCGACGAGCGACTAGAATCATCTCCTTGAAAATACGACTGTAAGTCGGCACAGAGTCATTAGCGTCTTCTACATATGACCTGATAAAAATCTGTCAATCCAAGATCTTGACTCGCAAAGAGAAATGCGCCTACCATATTCGGTTTCGAAACTGGGCAACCTGTTCCTCATTGTCCACATCAATGAAATGATCCTCGGTGGGTTCGATCAAAAGTCCGACTTGATTTCGCTCACGCCCGAACATGACGGCGCCATTGACATACGGGCAACAGCCGATGATCGTCTCCATCTGCGAAGGGACAGTCTTCTCACCAGAGGATAGGACGATGACATCATCCGCTCGACTGACACTAAGGCCACATCATGTCTGCGACCAACTCGTTTTACGGTCAACGACGTACATTTTCCACAACTGCTTTTCGGTTGGATGCCTGACGAAAAGGTCATTGGTCGCATAGCCCTGCACATCAGGAAGGTTTTCGATGCTCGGTTGGAGTTTGTCTGATCGCTGTGAAGATGGAGATCCAGCACATGGTTTTGATTGCGTCTTGACACGTACCAGAACTTGACACTCGTATAGATCAAGATCATGAGGAGCCCATCGAATATTGACCGTATCGGAGAACTCGACCCACTGCCAGTATGGATTGCCATTGACAACTGAGTCTCGAGGAGGAAGGATGGAGACCGGACCGCACTCTGTCGCACCGTACAGCTGTGCAAGTGGTATTCCAGCGGCAGTAAGGAAATCTCCCTTCTTTTCTGAAAGGGGACCGCCTCCATACACCTGCGAGTCACGTGGTCAAGAGCATGGGATCAAAGATCGAAGAAACATTAAGTTATAACGTACTTACAACGTATCCGATCTTTCGTAGTACCCTTAGTGCTTCTGCCGAATCGGCCCATTGTTCCAGGTGATAGGGCACACAAAGGACGATATTGGTCCCGGTCTGGCGGATGCATTCAATCATATTGTCCGATGTCGGAATAGTAGGGAGAGTCCGCCGATCTCGTACAGACGTAGGCGCGTATAATGTTGCTGTAACTCCGATGAGCATTGCATACAGCTGCGCTGCCACACCAAAGATATGGAACGGAGGAAGAGCCATCACGCCGAGACGGACCGATGGGTAGTTCCGGTATTGCCATAACAAGGCTACACCACACATTAGTTTTCTATCAAAGGAGAAACAAAAGTGGTCATACGGGCATTCAACCAGCTGAGTTGACCTCTGTGGTTTTGAGCGATGGGTTTTGGGAAGCCGGTGCTCCCAGAAGAGTGCATGTATAAAACAGTCTCGGTTATCCGCGTGATAGTAGAGCGTTTGGGGTATGGCACAAATGGGTGGGCAAGTGATTCGTTGCCCAAATGAGGGTAAATTTCTGATATGGGTGGTATCTCGAATATTGTCAGAGCGGAGCCACTATTCCCCATAAGGCGCCGGACATCATCAAGGAGAGCGGCGTGATTTGGGCTGATGGATGCTATACGACGACAACTGGTCCGGAGAAGTAAATCCACTATGGCCTGTGGTGGATTGCGAGGAGACATAGGAAACGGCTGCGTGAAATAAAATCAAGCAAACGATAAATCCAAGAGCATAGGCACTCACCACGATCCCTGCAATCATCAAACCCGCTATTAAGGTTGTATACAGGAGGGTGTCTGTGTGAACAACTATTGCGGTAACCTCGCCTTCAGCTCCAGCACGCCTGGGACGTAGTGCATGAGCTATTCGATGAGTAGCTCTGCCAAACTCGCGGTAGGAAATGGAAGTCAAAGCGCCGGTTTGTGGGTCTGGAAATATGTACATTGGCAGAGAGGCATTCCTCTGCATGTGAAAGTCAATGATATCTGGGAAAAGGAGTGAACCATCGAGAGGAGGACACTCTGGCTTTGGAGATATAGCAGCGGCCATGATGTCAAGGAAAGTTGATGTCAGGGGGGATATTCGAAGTATATATGACGCAGAAGACTTGTATGAAGCATGTCATCGCAGTTACGAAGACAATCCACCTATATGTCATATCAGGTGAGATGATGAAGTGGTATAGGCACGTAATGACCTACAACGTGTTAAGAACGCAGTGTTCATTATCGTCCGGTGATTTACTCCGACTCGGACCGTCATTCTATCAATTAACACATGCTCAGCGACCGCAATCAGGAGGCCCACGACAGGAAAGCGTGCAGCCTGGTTTTCCGAGGAAGTTCAGGTAAACCTTTCGTCCGTTTCGGAAATGAAAATAATTAAATAATCTCGATCCACGTGACCTCGTCGAGGGACGCCATCGACTGCGTTACGACTTACGATTCAGTACAACCACTACTGCTTAGATCGCTTCAAAAGTCCAATTTAACGGAGATGCGCCGCCGCCGGCTACTTTTTCTCGATAGATCCTGGGGTTTTCATCAAGCGAGTTGAGGCGAGCGGCGGATGAACAAAGAGCTGTTAAGAATATATAATCTCAGTCTCGAGATACTCGACTCAGTAAAGTAGTGTAGTACCTGTTAAGAATATATACTTAGCTCGTTCTAAGTAAACGGAAATAATAACGACTAACATCTCAGTCTCGAGATACTCGATACTTTATAGTAGGTTAGCATAGTGATACGAATAAATGATAGCATAGGAAAGTATTACTGCGTCTCGGCCGACGTCACGACGTCGCGCGTCACGCAGACTGGTTGTGCTCGCAATGTCTCACTCTGACATCTCGTTTCCTCCTCCCGGTCCGTCCTCCGAAACGTCTGTGCTCAACATTTCAAAGTTAAACCTTTGGTATGGGTATGGACAAGTGCTCCGTATACGTGCTCTGACGTTCTTCCCGCGACGCGGATCGAGAAGCTTGAGGATGCTGAGTCTAAATCTTTAATCTTGCTAGTCCTCACCTCAAGGCGCATCATGCCGTGCAGGGATGTGAGTACTTACAATATAAAGTTCACCTTAAACGCGCCCAAGGTCTAGGCGCCCTACAGGACCCCATAGCGCCTGTTGGCGCCCATCGTTTCTAAATACTTGTTCCTCGTATACGTCATCCGAATACCTCGAAAGGTTACAGATACTTGTCACCGAGAACATAGCGTCGTTCATATTAATTGATTGTCGATGTCAACGAGCGAAAGAAGAGCGACTCATGGACCGACCATGCGACGAAAAGTGCCAAGTTGCAATGTAGTCGTTCCGATCTCACGTTCGTAGTTCTTGACTGGGTCGTCGCCAACCCCCTCGAGTATATCTCCCATGTACCTTGAGAACGCTGGGCGTCGTGGAATACGTCACTCGCGCTGCAAGGGGTCATCGTAAGGGGATCCTAGCCAATTCAGAGAAACAATCTTCACCTACTAACTCAGTACTCAACCCCAATACCAGCATCTCGCCTGAGGCTCAGCGGAAGAGGCGATGCCCGCATCAGCGTTCACATCGTTGAAGTGACGAATCCCTGCATTTGTTTTCGAAATAACACGCAAGAATTCCAGCAGCTTGATTGTAGGCACAAAACGCCATTGTCAGCCCTGCGAGGTAGTTTTGCTTGCGTTATCATTCGAGTCCTGTGGTAAAGCTCCTTTAGCGCACTCTGCTCAAGTTGTGCAAACCAGTCTTTAGATGGAATGGATGCTGGCCCGGGTCGTTATCCGCAAATTCCTTCTTCACCTCGCGATGACGGATAAGCTCAACAACCAAGACCAGCTGAGGATGTACGACGGTTAGCGCGGGAGGTGGAACACCCATGGCAACAGCAACGACAAGAACGGTAGCAGCAATTAATTATGTACTCCTGCTGCATGCGGTAGCGCGCGGCTTGACGTATCGCGGACGCAATCCGTCATATTCCAGGTGTATTCACCTACCTACGATATTCCTGGTGAGCTATATAAAGGGATTGAAATCCATGGTGCCGCCGTGTGTCGTAGGAATTGACCTAGACAGAATTAGAACGCGGCGCGGCGCGGAACAGACATAATTTTTACCTCTTAAGATGTATTGTAGGTAGCAGATTATATTTCTCTTGTGCAAACTGGTGAGAAAGATATTTTCAGAGCTGCTGCTCGACCTTTTATAAAAGCAGCATTTTGTCTTGTAACTCCACGATCTTAAGAGCTTTGGATGAACGATTAGACGCATCACCCTAGAGAGAGCCACTGCACAACAAGCAAAGATGCACTGAACAAGTCAAATATGGTACTCGATGAGTTTGAATTGGACAGGTCATTCTGACCGATTCTCCACTCTCTAGATCCTCGATGGGCCGACGCGAAGGAAAACATGCTTTTCACTGACTATGTTGCGCGCTAATGACTGAACCGCTAACAGGGCGGTCGGATATGCCGAGGAGTATGCACGAGCAGGTTGCGCTTAATGATCAAGACATCACCTGTGCGAAGAACCGAGATCAAGTTTGTTTAAAAGGAAACACAAAAGTACGTAGCACTGCGTTCACTCGTGTGTCGTGCATGTCAATATCATATTGAATGTTTGAGACGTTCCACATCTATTCAATGGTCCGCATTGCTCAAGCGCAACAACTCCAAACTAGGTATTAGGCATCAACCACAGCGCCAACGCAAGAGCAGAAACACGACTCACTGTCGCGACGTGCCACTCAGGCTGCTAGCTCGATCACGCATAATCGCACTGGTTCAGGATCACCGTAATACACCTTGCGCAAAGGGTGAGTCATTGGCCCTGCGGTTGGATGCTGGATGCAAAACAAACTACTCATACTCACGGAAGGCCAACACGCAAAGCCATCGCAGCAATCTTTGTCTTTCTTGCAAGGCTGTGTTATGTCACTGCATTTAGTGCCAGTGACAGACATAGACACTGTCAAAACAGTAACAACGGTGAGGAGGAAGGCGAAATGCATGATCTGTGTGAGGTGATACGTGTTGCGTCGAGAGTGATCTTGAATAATAACTCTGAGGTGTGGGGGCACGGTACGAAGACGGCTTGCTTTTATATCCTGAAAATAATGTCGTGGGCAGACTCGGCAGTTTCGCCAATCGGTTTGGCAGAATGGTTGCGCCTGGAGGATGGCAGAACTTCACGGCGAGACGTAAACAAAACTTTACATGGAGGTGTGGTCGAACCTTCACGGCGAGAGTATAGGCATAACATAAAAGAAACCCAATGTCGGCGGATGAACAAGTACGAACTGCGACACATCCTGAGCGACGGAAACGGCATGTTGTAGATAAGACCGGAGATGATACCCTCAAACATAATGCACCCTAATCGCGGTTGAAATGTGATCCTAAGGAGAAGGTGAGAAGGTGAGAACAGTTCTTCGTGACCTCTGCGATGACCTGCCTACGTATAGATAGATGACTCCGAGCCATTTGTAGGTGGCAGACTGGGCGTACTTGGAAGGACCCTGAGGTTCCTCAACTAGGGCCGAGTGAATGCCGAGTATACGGCACAAAACATTTTATAATCGAGGATAACCTTGAATGACTGAGGTGGGTGTTAAGCCCGATCTTAATATTGAACATTGGTCACAGTGGAGTCGCGATGGAGTCTGGAAATGTGAATCCGGTAGTAAGGGAGACTCGGAGGACTAGCACATAATAATCACCAGGTTGACATTGCGGCCACCGATGGAAATTCCTGGAGCTAGAAGATTTTCGATTGGATATGAATATTGCGTCTAGCATAACTAGGGTCCAGCGCCGTATCTGAGAGAACTGTTGCCCCATTCGAGTGAAAACATTTGGCGGTGTCACGGATCATAGCTTCATTTGAACCGTAGTCAGTAGGCGCCCTTGCAATCTCGCGAAACGGGATGCGGGTAGTCAGCGCCCCGTGCGTGACAAGAAACGCTGAGACTCGAATTAGATTTATGTAAGCTGATCACGAGTGGTCCTGCACAGGGTTGGCTAAGCTTTGTCCAATGCGTGTCTGGGGGAGGATGGTAGATCCGCGAGTCACGTCACGCGGGACGGTGGTCGGAAAATTCTGGGGACGGTCGGAGTGGTTAGAGCGGTCTATAATGTAGCTTTGTTGAGCTTCCGAAGCTTTTCCTGCGATGTGATCGCGCTGCAGAGTTGAACCTTGCCGAGCGAGATTTGAAAGGACCGTAAATTTCAAGGAACGACTATCTTCCTTTATAGTGGTACTGAAAATAACTTTTGAAACTCTTGAAAATGCCGGCTAAACGCTTCGAACTAGTGACGTGCACGGCCCGGCTTGAAGACCTGGGCCAGCCCAGGCCTAAGTCACGGCCTGGGCCTGGGTTTCGAAGAGCCTGAGCCGGCGGCCTAAGCCACGGCTTTGGCATATTCAGTGGCACTGCCATAGAAGCCTCACCGGAGGTACATTTCCCGACTCTATTTTTGTCTTTTTAAGCTTCTGACTTCCATGTCCTTCCAGTCCTTCCAGTCCTTCTGAGTCCTTGCATGTTTGTGCACATCTGTGTTGAACTCTGACGAAACGAGAGACACGGAGCACGGACCGGGAGCGACGTCAGAAACATCAGGTTGATATTGCGAGCGCAACCGATAAGCAGAACGGATGCGACGTGATGAAGTCGGCCGATAGAACTCATATGCAAAGTGTCATTTCCTATGTTACACTTATTTCTTTATCACTATGCTAACCTACTATAAAGCTATGAATTATTTGTTAGAACATCTCAGTCCGTTACCTCGAGACTGAGATGTAAGTCATTATATTTTCCCCTCTACTAAAACAGAGCTGACATACCCATAGAATATATTTGTTATAGGTACTATAGTCCTGCTGAGTCCATTACCTCGAGACTGAGATAATACATTTGTTATAGCTCCCACATTCTGTGTCCTTGCTCAGCTTAAATAACCACAGGTTATGAGCCCTGACTCGACTATGGATACCGTGCTCCCCAGTACCACTTCTTCACTTTTTAACATTCCAAAACTTGCCGAAGATGGCTCCAATTG